TAAGCTGCTGAATTGATTTTTGTTGCTCTGAGTGCCTTCTTGGTTGTAGGTAGTTTTCTTCTGGCAATCTGTGGACACTGTGGGATGGATAAATTCAATACATTGCTGGAGCTGCCTGACATTTTGTCTTAACTCTAAAGGCAACCCCCCCCCAAAAAAACCTAGTATCTGCAGTTTTCCAATCCTAATTTCCCTTCCTACAGCCAGCCTGCTTTAGTCATGCTATCTCTTCCCTGCCTGCTCAGTGGCCTGTGGAAGCCTCCTCAAAGGCTTCTTTATGCCCCCGCTCCTGGTCTGTCAAAGTGTCTTCTTCCAGCTATAGTCTACAGACCAAGAGTGACCTGTGACATAGGTTTTGATGGAAAGCTGCCTGCACAACATATCTTTTGCTTGGACTCAGGTTAAGTAATACCTTCATAGCAACTTACCTTATTCATATGAGTTGAGGAGCTGGCTAATGAACTGGTTCTGTGCTTTCAAGAAATACCATAATCCCGTGACTGGGAGGTTTGCATTTCCTTCCCGTGTGAAGGGGGCTGTGAAGGTGCACTGCTCAGATGCTCATTTCTTCCCAGTGTGCCATGTTCCAGCAGAAGATACTGGGGGGAGAAACATTAGAAACTGCTCGTTTTCTTAAGCAGGAGGAAGTGCAGCGCTGCAGGAGTAGGAGGTTACATCTGCGCTTCTGTGGAAGACGTGTCTGTTGGTACAATCCAGCAAACCCTGGCCATACAGTGTAAGGTCTGTCCTTGAGTGGAGACGGGAACCTTGTTCAGTACTGAGCAGGGGCATTTCTGGAACTGATTTGGGAGGAGTGTTTCTTTTTGGGCTTTTTTTTTTTTTTTTATCTCCTCTGAAGTGCTGTGCTCATGTACAAACATTTACACACACAGCAGTTACAGGGAAGTTGTTCAGCATAGTATCAGTGCATGAGTGCACCCATTATTAACTTTCATGTTGTAAAAGAGTTACAGAGGGGAGTTTACAAGGCATTTTTAGTTCAGGTTAACTATTAAAATGAAAGTTTAATTACATACATTATTGACTTAAACCTCAGTGAAGGTTGGTCACAGGCACAAATAAAGCCGATTCACCCACCTCAAGCATCTTGCAGAACTTCTGTTTGTAAGCAGCAGCTCAGATTTTCTTTACACCAAAAGGTTTTGCCTTTCTGACTAAACCCTTTTAAACAATCACTCATTATAGAAACCATAGCATTACTTTGATTTAAGTAAGGGCTGGGTTTGTGTTTTTCATTAGCTTAAGGTAACTAGGAAGATTTAATCTAGTTATTACCCTGACACCAGCTTATGCCACCAATGCATTCCAGTTATTCCAATTCGTCTTTGTTGCCTCTTCAGCAAGTGTGGAGGGCCAGATTACAGTGGCATTCACACATCACCTGCAGCCTGGGACTGCATGCCTGCACCCTGCATGCAAGCGTTGCTGTCTGCAATGGGAAGGAAAGACAGGCAGACAGTCAATGTAGAGGAGCCAAGACTTGTTTTCCAGACAAGGAAGTTGTCCCTCACTACAAGGGAGATCCCAGGCAGATTGAAAGATCGCCGTGGGGATGTTTTATGTAGGTGCAGTTCTACTACACACGCAATAACTTAAATGCTCACAACCTATCCCCTTCATTCTTGTTAAAAAAGCTTGCTCTCTCTTACTTCTTCGAGGAATAATAATGGCCCTGTTAAGTTGGAAAGAGAAAACCTCCCCCTTGTTAGAAAGGAGTGCCAGAGAGAAGGAGAGAGAGCACATTGGCTTTTAGAAGAGATATTTAGTCATTCTTTTCTGCGGAAGGCTGGCAGGGAACATTGCAAAGTTCATTTCCGAACCAGAAGAGTGTGTAAAGACTGCTTGTTTTATTCACTACATTAATTGTACTTTACATATTACTCATAATACTAAAATACCCAAATCACTTCACCGTATACCAGGGACATTTAGCTGCCAATTTTTAGATTGTCGTAAATTGAGTGTGTCTGTTTGAACCAGCCAAAATAATCTGGGTTAGATCACAAATGTATGTATGTCTGAGTATGGGGGTGTGGAGGGAAAGAGGGACTGCCATGGCAGAAGGAATGCTTAACACCTTGGAAATGTTGTCAAAGGAGCAAAAAAGAAGATAGTGGTTCCTATTTTTATCTGCCTGTGCATTTCTGCTCAGCAGGTCATATCCTTCACCTGCCACTTTTAATTTCCTTTTTCCACAGATGAATGTGACTGAGCTTGTCTAAAAGTGCATCTCTTTGCTCTTCAGCATTGTTGTGTGCCTGCATTTCACATCTCTCAGTGCATAGCATCGGGTTTACCTTCCAGCCCAGTCTTCTGCTCCCAGCAAGCATTGAAAGGAGCTGTCTTACCGTGGACCTGGGAAGGTTTAATGTGGGCACCTGAGGTCCCCAGGCACACTCCACTGCTGCCTGGCATAGTGCCTGCAGTGACATCCCCTTGCAGTAGGAGCAGCTGCTTGTGGCTGGATCTGGCCCTGGAGCTGACACCAGGCAGAGCTGACCAAGCTCATTCACCAGGAGGAATCAGGCTTCCTCCCTCTGGAGACCTTATAAACAGATGCCACCTTTAGCTCTTCTTCACAAGACTGGGCAACCCCAAATCCTGGTACCTCCAGGATGGGCAAATCTGGTCCCTGTTTTGCTTTCCATTGCTCCAAAGTTGGTTGCTGCTTCATTGCACCATATTCCAGTGCAGTGTGAGCAGAGGGGGGTCAGATGCAAAGCTCAGAAAAAGGACACTGTGGAGTCACTGGTAAAACTGCATCCCCAGGAGGGATATGCATGCTGTAGCTTCTCATTCTTGGAAGTTATTTTCAGTAGATGTTCTGGGGTAAGATTTAATTCAGTGGCTCCTAAATGCATCTCCCCAAGTGTCCCTGAGGCTTGTTGTTGCTGTTCCTTGCTACTGTGGAGTACAGGCTGGGAGGAGGCATGCAGAATGAGAGACACAGAATGAGAAATGGCACAGAGCAGGAAGACTTCTTCCCTGTTTTTTTTTTTTTTTTGTAATATGCCTTAAGATGTCATCTCCTCAGTTGCAGCCTTGAATAGGGAGAGCCACATGCCAAAAATGTCAATTTTCCCTTTGCAGATAGGATTGTGAGTGAAGAAGGAAAAACAGTGACAATGATGGCATCTAATACTGCTATTGGTAATCACACTCATTGTTATGATTTTCTTGAATACATCTTAAAATAACCTTTAGTGATCAGTGCCATCATTTTTATTTTACACATGGGGTAACTGAGTCAGACAGAAATGAAGTAACTTGCTGTCACTGCCAGCAGTGGGAATGGTCAATTTAGTAAAGGCTGGCATACTGGAAATTGAGTAGCAGTAGTATGAACAGTAGAGTGGATGAAGGCTGTGTGCTATCTTCGGGAAGCTGAAGCATCTGTGTGCATGTCGAATAAAGGCTGAGCTTATCTTGCAGTACGTTCTTGATCACTGAAAGATGCTCCTCTATGCCAGCTGAAACCTTAAAGACCTGGTTTTGGAGCTTCCATTCCATAGTTAAATGTGGTAGAAGTTCCCAGGCAGCTCCAAGAGTGAAGGAGTGGTGATGGGCTGATGGAGGGACCACATGAATCTTCTTTCCTTTTGGAGTCAAAGTTGTGAGGTTATGAAAGGTGGCACCGTGTTGAGGAAGGGGAGTAAGGCTTCTGCTCCTTTCTACTAATGCTGGAAACAGGTTTGGTCTCACCTTTCACTGGCATTTCTTTACCACTGTCGTCAGACCTAAGCTTAGTGATTTAGGCTGGTGTGTCATCACACTAATTGTGTCAGGTGTATTTCAGGAGCATTTCAGACCTTCATCTTGAAGCACATGCTCACTTTGAGGTGCAGCCTTGTTGAGTTCACGGGACTGGTAAGCACCCCTGTTAAGCATGGGGATTGCCAGATACCTAGAGTACCTTGAAGACTTTTGCCATTGAGCATCCTTGAATTTACAGGGCTGGTGACTACGTGCCCCAGAAACAGGCAGTGTTGGGTATGTGACTTTCTGTTGAGCTAGAGAATATTGTGGTTTCAATCCTGTCTTTGGTTGCATCTGATTGCAAAAGAAAGTCATCACCTCTAAGGAACTCCTGCTTGCAGAACAGTTTAAAATGTCATTGAAAATGAAAAGGGAACATTTTTGTAGGACAGATGGTTGGCCTATGCTGAGCATATCACTGCCTCTCTTGCTGTCTGCGTTAGGAACTTTAGACTTGTTCTTTTAGCACAGACTTGGTTTTCCTTTCCTTTAGCTGAAGCAAGAGTATGCATCTTTGAAAAATGACTTAGCAGTGATAGGAATCAGTCTTTGTAACCAATTATCCACTGTCTTTTGTTTCATTTTTGAAAGTAAATGAGAGATTGGTTAAATTGACTTAAAATTCATAATTGTCCAGTGTTTCTTTGTTACTCTTTTTTTAAGAACTAACCATTCTTGAGATTGCTTTCTGGTAATTTGATTCTGTATTGTGGGTTAAACTTCAGGTATAGTGTCTAGCCTGGATAAATGCTGATTTGTTGACAAAGAAATCAAGTAACCATAGTTCAAATATATGCCGACAATTGCAGGAATACCATCACCGATCTCATAGTGAAGCTGTTACTTGTATCTGTAGTGAGCCATAGGGACAAAAATAAACTTTAAAATACTTAACATATGCTTAACATAATATATATGTAAGAAGTTTACTTAATATGCTTAAAGTACCTAAAATAAATAAATAAGCTTAAGTTTTTTGAAATTGGTGGTTTCAGATGTGCAAATATTGAAGTTGGAGGAAATAAAAAAGAACTGATTTTTAAAGATGCCATCTATTTTCTAGGCAGTAATTCCCTTTAAGGCATCTGAGATGGGGTACCTGCAGTCATCTATGACTTTTAAAAGGTCTTGAAGTGCCTACGCAGAGATGTTAGGCTTATTATGGAAGTGATACCCTTCTAAAATGTGATTGATTGCTAATGATTCCTGATGTCCTCTTTCAGTATCCACAATGGAGTAATATCGGTGTTCCAGCGTAAGGGTCTCCCGGACCATGAACTTTACAACCTCAATGAAGGAGTCAGGTAAGAGACTTGCCTTTACACAAGATGTCTTTAGCCATTGTGCACAGAACTGTCTGCTGGCACTTGTGCTAGAAAGCTCCTACAGCAGTATTACAGCGGGTTTTTTTCCCAGTGGTAGTTTCAACCAGTATTGTCAGTTTGGCCTCAGTGCATAGTTTTTGCTGATGTGTGTGTCAGCACCTCATTGCACAGTAGGAACTGAGTTCCTCCTTCTGCAAGAGAGATACTCAGATGTGTGGAGGATGGATTGGTTTAGTCTATCTTGACATACCAGATTGAAATTAAGGAAAGGAAAATGGGGACCCCCTCTAGTAATGCAGCCCTATTCTGCTGCAACAACGATGGCCTTTCCATAGGTGTCAGGCCTAGCTCTGAAGTCCTTCCCTTTCATCTGCAAAGGGTGTAAAGCCTGGTGGTCCCTAACATCTAGCTGCTTCTTCTGCACAAGCTGAATATGTTGTGTTATAAAGCTGTCTTCTCAACACAGTGACCTTAGTAACACAGTTTAAGGTTCCTACTTCTTTCTCATACTTTGATCATACCGTTTGCAACAGACTAAATAGGAGTGAGATGTATAATGGGAACTCTTCTTCCTGAAAAACTAAACTGAAAAAAAAACCCAAAACCAAACTAACCAACCAATAAAAATAAAAACCCCACCAAAAAAAAAAACCCAACCAAAAAAACCCCCAAGAGAGAAGCTGAAAATCTTACCATTCCAATTATTTACATTATAATTGTAAAGATAAGCTTACCAAGAGATAAGCTGATACCTGGATTTACAGCACTTCACTTTTTACTACGTTTTCTAGCACTTCTAGTTGCTTACTAAACCCTCTCTCCTTGACAAGGGCAATGTGTAGCAGATTTCATTTTACAAATTTGGCCCGATGCCCAACACCGTAGAATAAAGGTAGGAAAGAATATGCACTTCCAAAAGACAGACAGCTTCTTACCTTCCTAGCTGTCTTCAGATAAGAGCCTCAGTGATTCCCTTTCCCTTACTGCTTATTCCCAATCAATCCATGTTCCAGAATCTGACAATATCCATAGAATATCCAGATATTCTGGGATTATCTCTCCCTGTTTGGTTCTCAGTCTGGAATAGCTGGCCCTGTCTGGTTCCTTTGTTTGTGGAAATATCCAGGCAAATGACATTTAGTCTGTGATTTCTCTTTTTCCTGCTCTCTCTGTCTTTCGAAATTAAAAGAAACTTACTCTCCAGCTATTTCTTGCTTCTCTGGGGAGAAAGTGACACATAAAGAATAGCTTTTCTAGGATGGCTGTCAGTTAGCATGATCCATCAATCATTTCAAGTTAGTTATTGGAATAATAGTTAATCATTGTTACTGGAAGTGTAGTTAGGATTCTTTAGCTTTATCTGAATGACAAAAAAAGATGGTTCTGGGCTGAGATTTCCTGGCCCAATGCATTTGCCTCAGGATGCTCATCTGCTGGTGAGGGAGAAGAGGAAAAATTATCTGCTGATGTGACAGAGACAAATACAGTCTTGTATGAACCAACAAACAGAAGACAGACATTACAAATAGACTGTTCTTTTTTTCCATTTTATGATAGGCTTTGCTTCCACATGATAGACCCATTTCTTTTTGTTAGGGTAAGGATAACACTGCTTTCTTGTTACCTCAGCTGATCACTCACTTTGGGGGAATGCCTGGTGACTTTTACCTGAACTGATGCACAAAATACTGTGAAATTTAGACTGAGCTAGCAAGCTGCTGTCATAAATGAGGCACCAGCAGCGTAGCTGTCCTGGGATGAGTGAGTGGAGAGATGCAGCATGGCTTTCAGGGATGGTTCTTTTCTACTGCTGCTTTGAGGTTGTTCCCTCTCGTGTCCAACTTGGCCTGAACAGCCTTCTAATTTACTGCCAAAAGCTGTCCACCCTCTCAAGAGACAATTCTGAGTTTGTTTTTGTGTTTTCATGTGTGTCCTGCTTGCTTCATTCATAGAAAAGTTAAGCTGAGAAAACTACGAGTGAGCAAATAGGATGCAACAGCCAGAAGATCTGTCTGTAAATGAGAGCATAGTAGTGGTATTTTTTAAGTATGCCTGTTCACATGCTCGGCCATGGCCTCTTGCCAGAAGCTACTGCATTCCTGGTGTTTGCTTCATTTTATTGCTGATTACAGTCAATAACATTTTAGGGCCTCCTAACGATTTGCATACAAAGCCCTTTTGCCTCACTTAAATTCAGCTCAAAGCATAACTAAGAAATACTGATTTGACACAAGCCAAAAATATCTGGCTTACTGCTATTGTTATTTAATTCAAAATAACTTTCTTTGGGTTAGTGTTATTATTGAATACAAAAATACCTGATTGATAAACATGACCTCAGAATTGGAACAAGTGTATTTTGCCTCATGATTGCCTTAGATGCATTTTTCCCACAAGTACATAAATGCAAAGAAACAAATAGCCATTATTTCCGCTGGGCAGAATTTGAGTGCAGAAGCATTCAGGTAAACAGTTTTTTTCCAACTGTTTTTTCCAACAATAACAGGAATAAAAGAAGTTATTTTATTTTACCACTTTAATTACAGCATATTCTGGGATACTTTCATAATTAAACCATGAATATCCAAGTTGACTCACAGACCAGGTGTAAATATTTATAAACAGCTTAACCTGCAATATTTGCACATCACCATTTTGACTCAGGAATGTCACATATATTCAACTATTGCATGTCACATACATGCAAACAAATATGTATAACTTCCTTTTCTGAACACACATCTCGAGGCTTTGAACCCTGGTTATGTATGCACTAATTATTTAAGAAAATATCAGTGGGTACAAATTGTACAATACCATTTACTTTTCTAGGTTTGATTCTCAAAAGCTGCCACTTGTACACCAATGTCTTCTGACACCATTTGCACTCTTCTGGAATTAGAAAGTGGCCTTAAATATGGAGTTTCATAGCTCTCAGAAGCCCTACTACAGAAAAACAGTGTGAGATTTGTGTCTCTCTCATATTACTGTAACTCCTGAATAACTGCTAAAGCTAATGAAGTATAGTGAAGTGATGAGAAGATACTCCAGTAACTGGGAGTATCGCCAGTGTATGGCCTGTACATTACTTCTTATGAGCCCTTACTAGGTGATTTAATAGGGGATTGATTCAAAAGTCATGATCTATATGCATATAGTTACTGTTCAGTGTTTCTCTTGGTGCATGTGATTATAATTGTATAGGAATTGTATAGTGTTTTTTCCGTTTTCATTTCATGTACCTTATGTCATTTCAAAGTGTTTATTTACACCACTTGTAAATCAAGGAAGAAAAAGAAGGAAAGGGAAACACAGTGGAAGCCGGATGTCCTGTATTAAGCTAATACATATTTATAGCTGCCTCTTTTCTGAGTTTCAGGATACTGATTTGATGCAAACAAAGCACATTTTAGTGGCATTTCCTCTTTCACAGCAAGAGTTCAAATCTAGTAAAATTGCATGTTTGCATTTGCTTCATTTAATTTTATTTAACAGATATTATACAGTGTTAGACTTTCTATTCTGAGTAATGTTGCAAGAGTTAATTTCAAAATAAACCAAAGAAGCAGCAGCAGGAGGTTGCAGAAAACTCAGGAGCTATTTTATCATATTTTGTGTGAATGTATATTATCATCTTAATTTATGTAGTTATTAAACTTCAGGCAAACACCTGATACCAATGACAGAAAAGCTTCATAAGAGCCCTTGACTGGCTTCAAAATCAGATGTGCTTGAAGTGAGGTCTTCTATCTGATCAGGGATCTCATTTAGGTTTAATCAGATTTTTACCTGGATTCTATCATGATGCCCATGTATCTATGATTATTCAGTAATCTGAATGATCCAAGATCTGACAGGTGACAACCTAGCTGATTTTTGTTGTGAAAAATTTTGCAAGGCTGAAAAAACAAAATTACAAGCAATGTCTTGGACCCAGTTTTGTTGTGGATCTCTTTTAAATGAATCTGAGATGAATCTGGGTGCAGAGGACATCAAACACCAGTGCTCTGATGTGGCCTGAGGGCCTCACTATTTCACTAGAAATTAATTAAGTAGCATGAAGTGTCTGTGTTATTAGGGATTCACAAAGCAAGACACATTAATTGTGCTGTCAGTTCTTCCTCTACCCTGTAAATAGAGATGCTAATGTAGCTAAGTACTGGTTGGTGTGATGCAGTCCAGTGCATATAATTAGCTACAAGGGGGTTGTTTAGTTCACTTACAGTTGAAAAAATGGAAATGTGGTGGGATTTTATCAGAGGACTAGTTATTGGACAAGTAGAACATAATTCTGTATTTCCTGCCCTAAATACCAGGAATTATCAGTAGAACCTAAAATATGAAAAGCTAAGGTATTTGCAAATTGCCTGTTCAAGACAATGAGGAATCTGGGACTAGATTTCAGTGAGTTGCTAGCTTGAGGAGAGGGTAGAAGATTAAGCAAAACCTGTCAGTATAAAGTATCAAGATTTTTTTTGAATCAGTGGCACAAAGAGATGTATGGGAATAAATTGTCTCTATCACAGGAAAACTCAAAACTGCAAAAAAACCTTTCTTGTTACTTTAACCCTAAAAATAGTTATTATTTATGTTAAAAGTGAGGAAAACCTTCATTGCCATTGCTTCTGATCCAGAAAAAAAAATCACACCACCTGGACAGTAAATTTTTACTTTGGGTGAGCATTACTACAATTTGTCTGTAACATTCTTGTACTCGCTGACGTACTCTTAAGGCTTTAAGACTTTAACAGTCTTTGGGGGAAGTGAGTTTTAACCCCTGCTAAGAGGTTATCAGTGAGTAACATTGAGGATGGAGTCTCTGGGCACTGCAGGGGTTGTTCTCTCCCGTATGTTGTAAGAGCAGGCCAAGGAGCCTAGCTATACAATGACCATCCGTGGAAAGGTCTATGGCTAAAGCCTGAGCTGGCTTTGAAAATTTTGGTCTGTATATAGTTTGTCTCTAGCTGAAAAGGATTTTGATGCTTAAGAACATCTGAAAAACTCCTTCCTTTTGTTTATTTTCTATTTCATTTATGCCTGGAGTGTTTACATAAGGTGCTATGAGGCAGTATAGATAAATAAATAAGATACTGTATTTCAGCCTCCTAGAGATTGACCACCTTCTCTTTTCCCTGAACTTTCAGAAGATCTCAAGAGGCTGTGCTGAAGCATGTGGTGCTAAAAACATCAGATCCAGCTCCTGCAGACTTTTTCATGGAGCGTATGGATATGCTGGACTAACTAAACCACGTGTATTTATTTACTACTTAAAAAACTTGATTAGTTATTTGTTAAAGACATAACCCAAAGAGATAGATTATAACATGCTACTGAAACTATAACTTACAGAACTACCCAAAGTGAAGTAGGCATTTAGATTTTAAGTTGAATTTCATATCACTCTTCATGAGACCTGAGGTGATCATAGAGTCAGGTTTTCAAAGGAGCTCCAGGCCAGATTTTCATGTGTTTAGAAAACCCAGCTGCGACTACACTTCTATGAGGTCCAGCCTCTCATTTATGCATCTAAATAGCAACCTGAGTGCAGAGAAGTATATCTAGGACCCAATGTGTGAGACATTAATACAGCTTTTTAGCAATGTGTAGTGAGTTTTATCTGGATACAAACATTGGGCTTGGGAATCGGATTGAATTCTGTTTTCAAATTTGAGGGTTGTTTGTGGGAATTTTTTTGCTTATGAGTTTGGTTTGCTCAGTGAGTTTGCTTTGTAGGTTTTAGTGTAAAGGAGTCATAATAGGCAGAGCTAAGCTGTTAAATTCCTACCTGCTTTTTGACTGAAAATGTATGAAACTTAAGCTGTTCTGAGTCTCCTGAGTGGAAAATCATGACCCTTTCAGTGGAAACTGGCCAAGTTTCACACCCGCAACAAAACCCACAGAATTGTCATCCTGCTTTGGGTTTCTCTCTAAATATTTTGGCACAGCTCTTTTTTTCAGCCTCAAGCAGGACAGGGATGTTTTGGCTGTGAACATGCCATCAAGTCACATGCTCAGTTTTTGGCCTAGACCCACAGATGGGCAGAGAGCACCAGGAGTTCTCCCATGTCTGCAATGTCAGGCACCACTGAAGCCCTAGCACAGCAGGAAAACAATTCCAGCATTTGTAAAAGGATTAGATGTGAGAGGGAAAGCATCCTCTTTTTGTCAAATCTTAATTTCTTTCATATGTATTTGTGGAACTGAGCCATCTAAAAGCACAACAGATGTTTTTGATCACATAGAATGCTGGTTGGGAGTCTTGGTATTGTTGAACCTGTTTGCTCTATTTGTAGTTAGGCATTGTTGACAGGCTCTGTGTTCATATGAAAATATTTTGCTATTAGTGACCTCACCTTTTCCATGCATTGCATAACTAATACAATTTGCCAATTATGCAGAGTCTTTTCTTATTCTTTTAATACAGGCAATTATTGAAAACAGAACTGGGATCCTTCTTTACTGAATATCTACAGGTAGGCATGTGTCTTCTTTAATTTAAATCAGATTTCCTAATATGCTACTAAGCAAAACCATTTCACCCGCTCTAAATGCTGATTTGGAGATCCTTGAAACCATTCAGAGATGTTCACTGACTTCTCTGTGTTGTGTTATTTATGGACTAATGAGATTTGAATTTTATATATATGTATATCTAGTTAGATAGTGGAAGCCCAAACCATGGAATGGATTTATTCAGTCCTGTATTGCTGGATGACATTGCTGTCTTTCAGTAGACTTTCAGACATTCTCTTTTAGCTTAAAATTGTAAGTTCTTGAATAAATCAGTTAAGTTCCTTGTAGTATAGTTAATAGGAAAGACATTTAGCAATAAGTACATGCCATCTGTTGAAGCAGTATTTTTCTGCTTCTCTAAGACAGTACATGCTTTGTAGGTAAGCCATTTGAAGTTTGAGAAGCACTTTGTACTGCGCAGAATATGTACTGTATCCTGAAATCAGCAGGTGATTATTTTAGTGTTTGACAAGTGTCCCAAGTGATTTAAGCAAGGTGGACACAGGAGGAGTCCTTTGATGAGTGATCATTAAAAGACCCCCTTCACTGTCAAAAGTTAAGAAAGAACAAAATGTGTAATGTGATGGCTGTAAGGAAGTACAGAATTGAGTAAAGGTAGTCTGTATTTTATTTTACAGAATCAGCTGCTCACAAAAGGCATGGTGATCCTAAGGGACAAGATCCGGTTTTATGAAGGTAACTTGGATTTTGGCATGGCTACCTATATCTGTCACAGGAGTTTCAGCAAATGCATTTTTTCAGCATGCAGCAAAGGCATGCTAAGGCACATGAAAATCAACAAGGTGCTTGCTGACAGTCAGCATGGCTTCACTAAGGGGCAGTCCTGCCTGACCAATTTGGTGGCCTTCTATGATGGGGCTACAGAACTGATGGGCAGGGCTAGGGCAGTTGATGTCATCTACCTGGACTTGTGCAAAGCGTTCGACACTGTCCCACACGACATCCTTGTCTCTAAATTGGAGAGACATCAATTTGATGGATGGACCACTAGGTGGATAAAGAACTGGCTGGATGGCTGCACACAAATTGTTGTGGTCAGTGGCTGGTTACTGGTCCAGCTGGAGACCAGTAACGAGTGGTGTCCCTCAGGGATTGGTGTTGGGACTGGTCTTGTTTAACATCTTTGTCGCTGACATGGACAGTGGGATTGAGTGCACCCTCAGCAAGTTTGCTGATGACAGCAAGCTGTGTGGTTTGGTTGATACCCTGGAGGGAGGGAATGCCATCCAGAGGGACCTTGACACGCTTGTGAGGTGGGCTGATGCCAACTTCATGAAGTTTAACCATGCCAAGTGCAAGGTCCTACACCTGGGTTGGAGCAATCCCAGGCACAGCTACAGGCTGGGCAGAGAAGAGATTCAGAGCAGCCCTGCAGAGGAGGACTTGGGGGTGCTGGTCGATGAGAAAATGAACATGAGCCGGCAGTGTGCGCTTGCAGCCCAGAAAGCCAACTGTATCCTGGGCTGCATCAAAAGGAGCGTGACCAGCAGGTCATAGGAGGTGATCCTGCCCCTTTACTCTGCTCTTGTGAGACCTCACTTGGGGTATTGTGTGCAGTTCTGGTATCCTCAACATGAAAAGGGCATGGAACTGTTGGAACAAGTCCAGAGAAGGGCCACGAGGATGATCAAGGGACTGGAGCACCTTCTGTGTGAAGATAGGCTGAGAAAGTTGGGGCTGTTCAGCCTGGAGAAGAGAAGGCTGCATGGAGACCTCATAGCAGCCTTCCAGTATCTGAAGGGGGCCTATAGGGATTCTGGGTATGAACTGTTCATTAGGGACTGTAGTGATAGGACAAAGGGTAGTGAGTTAAAACTTAAACATGGAAGTTTAGATTGGCTATAAGGAGGAAATTCTTTCCAGTTAGGGTGGTGAGGCACTTGAATAGGTTGCCCAGGGATGTTGTGAATGCTCCATCCCTGGCAGTGTTCGAGACCAGGTTGGACAAGGCCTTGGGTGATATGGTTTAGTGTGAGGTGTCCCTGCCCATGGCAGGGGGGTTGGAACTTGATGATCTTAAGGTCCTTTCCAACCCTAACTTTTCTATGATTCTATGATTCTATTTTGGAGGCAGTGTGATGCATTCTGCTATCTTCCTGGGACTATGGATTAGTTTGTATCATTTTGTTCCTGCAGTTTTTTGTCCTGCCTTGGTGTTCCCATTGATTTTCATCAAAGGAGAGGTGACTGCCTAGAGGAGCAGAAAGAAAGTAAAGGAAAGACTAACTGCAGCATGGATGCTTCCTTCTCATTCAGTTATAGCCTGCTCAATTAAGGAAAAGTAGAAAAATAGACTAAAATTTCTTAATAAACAAAAACTAAGCACTAAGGTCCCAGTTACTTGAAGTGCCTGGCTATGTCCAAAATAATGTTGTAGGTTTTTTTAAGAGTTACTCTGGATTCATGTATACCTAATGGAGTCAGACAGGTCAAGGAGCCATTTGTCTGTCTGCACCTTCTTTAAGTGTCACCTTATGGAAGTAAACATCAAGGAGAGGGCTGAAGCACCTCTCTTACAAAGGTAGGCTGAGAGAGTTGGTCTTGTTCAGCCTGAAAAAGAGAAGGCTTCCGAAAGACCTTATAACAATATAAGGTCTTCCAGTACCTAAAGGGGGCCTACAAGAAATCTGAGAGGGACTTTTTACAAGGACATGTAGGGATAGGACAAGGCGGAATGGCTTTAAACTGGCAGAGGAGAGATTTAGATTAGATATTAGGAAAAAATTCTTTACTGTGAGGGTGGTGAGGCACTGTCACAGGTTGCCCAGAGAAACTGTGGCTGCCCCATTCCTGGAAGCATCTAAGGCCAGGCTGGATGGGGCTTTGAGCAACCTGGCCTAGTCAAAGTTGTCCCTGCCATGGCAGGGGAATTGGAACTGGATGATCTTGAAAGTCCTTTCCAAACAAAACCATTCTGTGATAACCTCCACCTGAAGTGTCATTTTACAATCACCCTCATTTCATGTCTTATGCTATTGTGTGGCATTTAGATGTGCTCTTAAATATGCTGTTTTGTCCTAGATGTGGGCATACAAGTTGCACCAAGGGGGGTTTAGATTGGATATTAGGAAAAATTTCTTCACCAGAAAGGTTGTCAAGCCATGGAACAAGCTGCCTAGGGAAGTGGTTGAATCACCATCCCTGGAGGTATGTAAAAGATGTGTAGATGTGGCGCTTAGGGACCTGGTTTAATGGTGGACTTGACGGTGCTGGATTAGTGATTGGACTCATTGATCTTAAAGGTCTTTTCCACCCTAAATGATTTTTTGATTCTATACATCATCAAAGGATGAAATGGTTTTGGCATATCTTGAAGAATTATTGCTATGTAAACAGCCTGAATATCTCTGGGGAGTCTTGAGGCGATTTTAAAGAAGTGCATCTTTTCCAAAGATGCAGTCATAATACCACTTAGTCTAAATATGCTGTTTAAGCAGTATATTTATCCTAGAGACAACTATTTCCATTAGTTTCAGCTATCTATAAATTCTAGATGTGACCTTTCATCACTGACAGTACAGTTGGTCAGATTAAGATGTTGCTATGGGACACAGCTTTTCTGATGAGAAGACAGTAGCCCTAAACTGCAAAAAGACAACAAGTTTCACATTAAAAGAATACCCCCAAAGAGTACGCACTCTTTAGCTGAATACAGAATTCTTCCATTATATAAAATACCAGCTTCCAGAGCATAAGGGGAGCTATAAGGATGTCAAGGCCTTCATAGCTGCTCTGTATAAATCACAAAGGAAGCTGGGTTTAAAGTATCAAATCAGCAAATTAAATGGGGAGACCTACCAAAATCCAACCCATTTTTCTTTTGGTTTTACTAGTTTGAAAATCAAAAATATACTATCTCTAAAGTTTGAGATCGAAGCTGAGATGAAAAACTGAAATATGAGACCACTAAATAGTTTTCAAATGTAGGAGCATGTTTAGCAAATAAAAAAAATTCATCAAGCTGTTATGTTTATTTTGGGTTTAATTTAATATATCATTTTGTGGTTGCCCCTTAAAATATGGTCAGAAATCCTGGTAAGGTGACGATTAAATCAGTCATGTTTTTTCCATGTCCACCCTCAGAAATGTGAGCTCACTAAAACTGGCAAGAGGCAGAGGTCTTTCTGACAGACAGCTGTTTGGTAACTTGCCTGGGGAGCTGTAGATGGATGTGAGTTTCCAGGGCTGAATTTGGGGTTCTTTGCAGCAGAGGCAGCAGCACTGCAGAGTCCATCCTGTAGTCAGTGATGGCTCCAAAAACACCCAAGACAAAGTTGGGAGCACAGAAATTTTGGGAGCTTCCATCCTGAGCAGGGCTCCCTTCCTGGGGCAGCAGCAGCAGCAGCAGCAGTCCTGCCCTCAAATCTCAGGTTGTCCCACATCCCAGGGTTTGAGTTTCCCTATCCGGTTGGTGTTGAAGTTTTCAAAAGTGAAAAATGATCACTTCAGAGCACACTTTAGAGGGTTTTTGTCCTGCAGTGGGTTTTGAAACAATGATTTTTTTATTCTTGTATTTCTTACAGGAGTCTCAGCTTTTAGAAGCACTGTGAAAAGTACTGCATGTATTTTTATGTCATACAAAAGTGACTATATCATGCATCACTGAAATGAGCATTTAGAGTAACTCAGGTTCCTAAAATCTGGCAAATGCTTCTGGTAAATGTAGGGATCTTTGCCTGATGGCAAAACAAACATATCCTTGAATGGAAGTAAAAGTCACATTCCTCCATGTGAAAGATGTTCATCAACAAACCACAGGAATTCTTCCAGAGCCCCCTGTAAAAGGCCTGCCTGGCAAAGGCACTTCATCCTGCAGCCTTTCTGAGCCACTGTACAGAAATCCATCAGTTCACAAAGTAAGCTGGCCACAAGATGAAAGGAATGTACGATAGTAAATGCATGTTTATCTCAACAGGGTAATTTGATTTCATGCGATTCTAGCAGTGAGATTTGAAAATGACTGATGTTCAACACCCACATCTACAGCCAGATTTGTAAGGGCTTAGTTTCCACTTAACCTTAGCTTGTGGGTAACTAGCATATTTAACTCTTTTTAAAACTCTGCCCTCAAGGCATAGAGGGATTTGGCTTCTCCTTCATAATCAGATTTACCTTTTTGGAACACCTTCATATTTCAGACACTAGTATGGAGGTTATAATGCAGCAGCATTCTCATGGTTTAACCCCAGCTGGCAACTAAGCACACCTCAGCCACTCAATCACTCTCCCCTGGTGGTCTGGGGGAGAGACTTGGAAAGGTAAAAGTGAGAAAAGACAGTTTATTAGGTAAAGGAAAAGCTGTGCACACAAGCAAAGCAAAACAAGGAATTCATTCATCACTTCCTGTCACGGGCAGGTGTTCAGCCATCCCCAGGACAACAGGGCTCCATCATGTGTAACGGTTACTTGGGAAGGCAAATGCCATCAGTCCGAATGTCCCCCCCCTTTCTCTCTCTTTCCCAGGGTTTGTATACTGAGCATAATGTGATATGGTCTGGGATATCCCTTGGGTCAGTGGGGGTCAGCTGTCCTGGCTGTGTCCCCTCCCAGCTTCTTGTGCACCCCCAGCCTCCTTGCTGGTGGGGTGAGAAGCAGAAAAAAAAGCTTTGGCTCTGTGCAAGCACTGCTGGGCTATAACTAAAACATCCCTGTATTATCAACACTATTTCCAGCACAAACCCAAAACACAGCCCCATACAAGCAACTACGAAGAAAATTAACTCTATCCCAGCCAAAACTAGCGCAGGTACTTATTATTATTATTCTTATTAATTATTATTATTACTGCTACAGCTGCTAGGCAGTTTTGGACCAGATTCCCTGCTGTGTTTCACTGGAATTAATGCAAGGCAAATTTAGGAAAGAATTGAAACCAAGAACACCCTTTTCAGTCTTGTGCGCAAGTGTGTAGGACAGAGAGAACTCCTGCCTGGTGGTACAGAAACAAAGACCTTGGTGTGGTTCACACGCCAGCAGCTGCAGTATAGCATGGTGATCCACATTTGTCACTGAAAGCACTTAAAGTCATTAACCCAGGAATAATTCAGGAGTTGCAGATGGGCCAGAGCTGGTGCTATTTGTCATGTACTTAAAAATGCAGGGAGATCAAGTATCCCATAATAAAGATTGGCACTTGGCTAACTTTGAGTAGGAGATGCTTTCATGCATAGTTTCTTTGTGATATGTGTGTAATTCTGGGCAAAATGTTCCTTGGCTGAGACCCTAAGTAATGCTGTAATACAGAAATTAAGAATAGTATCTGATTCTGACACCAATAGTAATATTGATTGGTTGCTGTTGAATTTGCTTCCTGATAAGCCATATTGTCTTCTATGAATGCCTCATAATCATTGATGCATATATCTCCATAATACTTGCTGGTGGAGGTGCAGTGGCATTGCTCTCCATTCACAGTTGGATTAGGGACACAGTGATGCTAAAGAGCTTGCCCAAGGTCACACAGGCTATTCTGGGGAACAGAGATTTGAAGCCAGAATCCAGATTTTCACTGCATCCTTTGAAAGTTACAGTAAAAACTAGAGCCTCAACACACCGTCTTTTTCCATAGATCTTGGGTGAGATTTTCTGTGTAACCAGAGATACAGGGAACTTAAGGGGTTGATTTGAGGGGTTGCTTTGTAGAGCATCTCCACAAAGAGTGGTTTGCTCTGCTGCCTTGCTGCTTGGAGGACAGAGGGGAGAGTGGTGGGGGAGGGATTTCTCTGCAGGAATGCTTCCATGTTTAACCTGCTGTGTCCTCCTCCTACTGCTCTCCTTGTTCACAAGGTATTAACTGCAAGAAGAGGAGGAGGAGGCAACCTGGGCTATTACTGTTTGTTCTTCATACTCAGAAAATTTGAGTAAGCTCTAACCTGAAAGTCTTTGAGTTTACTAAGAACATCAGATGTGTCACCTGAAAAGACACAAATACTGAATGATCTGATACACAAAAGGAATACTATTTCCATACTGCTAATAGGAGCTGTTACATGATTCATCTTTGTGTATAGTAGCATACTCAGGTTGTTTCCTACATGTCTTAGTTGTCACAGTTACTTATTGCAACATAAATAGTTCACTGTTTTGTTTTGTGTTTTTGCAGGGCAGAAACTACTGGATACCTTAGCTGAAACCTGGGACTTTTTTTTCAGTGATGTCCTGCCCATGCTTCAGGCTATTTTCTATCCTGTGCAGGTGAAAACTCACTCTGTTACTATAGAATCTTGAAAAACTGGAAAAAGCAGCCTTACTGGTTCATCAACAGATTGATGCAATCCTTAAGTCTCTCTCCTTGGGCCAACCTCCCAGTGCAGCTGTTCTGTATAGCCATGTCATGCAAATAAGTTATTTATGCAAACAGGTTTGAAGTGCTTGTGTGAAAAAGATGAAGGGGAACTTTGAAAACCAAAGTGGACTGCAGAGAGGATGGTGATTCCTTCTGCCAACTGACACTAAAAGTCAAAAAAGGTTATGAATGATAAGGTCTACTATGCACACTGTGAAGTAAGTGGAGCTGTGTTGACTTAAATATCTGCATATGAATTTGTACTGGAAGAATCTCCATTTTTGAAAAGGAATTGTATTTCCGAGATTGAACTCTATGCTATTGCAAGTGCACAGCAATAGTCAGTGGAGTAAGACCAATTTACATGAGCACAGAATTTGACCCTGGTAATTTTAGGTGCACAATAGGTACTTGATCTGATTCAGATGAAGGACCAATCTTCTAATTTAGTGATGGCCATAGAGTGTTGTTTGTCACTTAAATCCCAAGGAAATCCTTGTACCAGATAGGTACAAGTGACCTTCTGGAGTTGCTCCTATATGCCTAAGGATTTTAGTAGGAGATTGGTGCCTAAACATATTTGAGGAAACTTCAGAAACCTTCTCCCATTTTTCCAGGTGGACTTTATGCCTAAAACAATTGTGCCAATGTTAATGGTATTACTATTTGCAGATAATACAGGCATGAATTCAGTGGAAAATCTTCAGCTTTACACAGAATTTGATTCTGAAGGGGAAGACCTCTAAAAACAGGCAGGGCTACTTCACCCATTCACTTGTGTCTTACTAACAGAAGCTTCAAAAATGATAGAAATAAGATGGTATTAGAACACAATGGGAGTTTTTGTGTTCCGCATAATTCAAATGTAAGGCATTTGAACACCTAGAGATATGGGTAGGCTCTCAACCTGGTTTTCCAAAGCACTTGACTAAATTAGAACTCAGATATTTCTGAAAAATGCATCAAATACTCCTTTTCACTGTTGTGTTCCTGAAGCCTTTGAAAATAATTTAGCAACAGAAGTCTCCTCACCATTGAGATGGAAATAATTGCTAGAATTTTCAAAGGAGCCTAGAGGGGGTAAGAACCTTAAATCCCATGCAATTTCAAATAGATCCGGGTACCTGATGCTCTGAGGTTACTTCCAAGAGCCCAGCTGGTGCTCTTGTGAATTCAATTCATTAGAAATTGTAGCAAATTTGCGGCCTTCAGTATAAATTGCTAACAAAGTGAAAAGGAATGGGTGAGGTGGAGTGGAATTGGGTCAGGCTTCTTTATTCCAAACTAAGATAAGTCAGTACTAGCTGCGTACCAGACTTTCCGGAAGTGCTAATATTTGGCTGGCAGCACTCATAACTGCAGGCAACAGTATGTATGTACAGCCATATGCACCCAAGTAAAAACCTTGATGTGAGACACAGGAACAGTTTTACAGCCCTTCATAAGGCATGCAGTGTTAATCTCTGCAGGCAGACCTAGCATTGTATTCTTCAGGTGAGATTTTCTTCAATGAGAATGTATTCCTGACCTGCAAAAAGATGTCTTTGAAAATGCATTATGAAACTTTAGCTCTGCTCATGCCTTATAGTGAAGTCTTCCAGACTGTAGAGAAAAGGGGGATCCATAGGTGGGCTGAGTTGGGATTCCCATTGTAATTTGAAGACAGCAACCAGACAGTACTAAAAATCTTTAGAAGCAATAGAAATTCTCCTTTTCAACCCTGCTTTAAAAAAAACCAACCAACCCAAAAAAACCAACCCCCAGACCAAACATATATGATACTTTTCATTAAAGTACAAAATATTCATATATATCCTGTGCTCAGATATAATCCCCAACACTGCACCCCGCCATTTTCACACAGTCAGGCTCAGTCATTGTGTGCAACATTCATTACTGCCAAATCAAATTCACTGTTCAGACTTGTGGGCTGCTCTGTGTCCTTTGTATGTTTCCTTTGCTTTTCATTTAGTTTACCATTCTTGTAATCCCTCAGAAGTGGAGGAAGGAATTTTGACAGTGGATATTGAAACTCATTTTCACGCTGCTCATAATCTGTCTTGCTTTGTTTCTGTTTCTAAGGGGAAGGAGCCCTCAGTTCGACAGCTGGCTCTTCTGCACTTTAGGAATATAATTACCCTCAATATTAAGTTGGAAGATGCATTATCACGTTCTCGGGCCAGAGTTCCACCTTCTATTATTCAGATGCTGTTAATACTCCAGGTAAATTGGCTACTTTTCTCAGTCTGTTTTCTTTATCTTTTTGTACTGTATTGCTGAAGCCTTCTTAAGCAGTCTCTGATTTTGCGCATTCATTGAACACTTCTTACGCAGAATTACAGAGCTTCTGTGCAATTAACTGTGGTCCTGATACCTAAAAGTAGAGACTGCAGAGGTTCAGATCTCACGCCTAAAGATCCAGAGAGCCTGGGAGTAAAGACTTGTTTTGAAACTTGGGCCTTGAAATACAAAATTTTGCAAGCAGATCAGTGTATGTGTTAATAACGTGACTTACATTAAATGTGTGTTATTGCATTAGCAGTTCTGGATATGAACCTTCACATCTGGAGTAGGCAGTTTATGTTTGAATCATGGTCATATTTGGTCACTAGAACCAAATTCTGTCAAAGCTGTTGATATAAAACCATTAAGACCAGATACTGTTATTTGTCTTAAGTGTTAGATTTTTTTTTTCAGTAGTAGTATTGAGGAGAAACAAAATGCGGAATTCCAGGCAAAAAGCAAGTTTAAGATTTTTTTTCTTAATTAAAGAAAACATGAGTTTGTGTTGAGGAGAAGAAAGGTTGAGGCAGAATGAAGGGAGAAAGGCAGAATGAAGGGAGAAAGTCAGAAGCAGATTCTTCGGAAGTGAGGAAGTTGAGATTTTCTTGGCTGGTGATTTTTTTAATAAACAATTTGATTTACAGCAAATGAAAGGATATAGTTTCTCACATTTAAAATGTTTCTTTGCTCTACATTTCCATATGAATTAGTTCTGTGTTTGAAATTGTTTTAAATAACAGGATAATCTAAAGTTCAGTGATGAAAATAGAGCAAGGAGTAAGATTCTCTTTGCTGCGTGAAGAAATGGTATTTCATCCCTGCTATCACAGTATACTTGTTGGAGTGTGTATAATGGTGCGTTGAACCTAGTTTTCTCAGAAAAATATATGATAGGACTGCCATCTTGCCTCATGTCTCACTTCTCCCTACCCTCCATCTTGCCAAATGCTTCTTGAAACTGCTGGCTGACTGTGGCACAATGACAGTAGTATCAGAGATTAAGATTCCTAGGAGCTTCATGGAAATTAGTATCTGGAGAGAGGAGAGGAGCCTCAGGGTAAAACTGGAGTATGGTTTTAACTGCATAATGAGACATCAAAGAATTCACATAATTGAACTGTGAACCCAGCTGTGTTAATAGACACCAGAGACACCACATGAGAGAGAGCACCATCGCAAAAAACTTAATCCCAGGAGGGTTGTCTATCAGGCCTCATCCCTTCTTAGATGCATTCTAAACCAGGCTTCAGCAGTGTCATTACTAACAGATCTACAGGCTTTTTTTGTGGTTTCTTTATTGGAGAGTCTGTTGGCTATGGGCAGGATCCGGCTTCGAATGAATTCAGTGGTGAGCTGGGAACTGAATAACATCCTGATTTAGAAAGTTCATAGGAGGTGATATGGAGTCATTTGGCAGGATCAGTGCTACAAGAAACTGTTGCTTTGCACATCTGCTTTCTTCAACAACCAGAAGTGTTAACAAGATGGATGCCTGCTTAGGGTAAAAGACCAAATCCATTCTCATTGCAAATATACTGATGGAAATCAATAAGGAAGTGAAAGGGAGTTTGCCCCGGGCGTTTATTTCTGCATACGTTACCCACATGTGGTGGGGATGGTGAAGGCCCTTTCTTGGCAATAGCTCTGCCAAACTTGTGGTTTAAAATCTAATGGAAATTACAGGAAAAGGTCAAAAGAAGATCTGAGAATTAGCTGTTTACATACTTAGCAGTGTTAGTCAATAATTGGATTTCAGAGCAAAGGCTTTTTCCCAGGCTCAAATGTCACATTAAACAAAAACAGGTTTTATACATTTATGGCGTAATAATGGAATTTTCTTGTCTTAGTTTAACTGAACATGTGAATAGTGCTGGAAAAGAGATGACAATTCAGCTGTCCAAAGAGCGTATGGTGGAATTATGTGTGGGGACTTTCCAGACTGGGAGATGGTGTCTCAGTGTGGGCATTGTCTAATCCCTGTTTCTATCTACCTTGTGTATCTCTTCCATTAGAATCTCAGTGACACTGGATTGGACTCCTATGGCTGAAAAATGAGTCTAGTGATGCTGACCCTGGACCAAGTATTGAACTTAGTGCTAAGTTGAACTATTTTTGTCCTGGAGAGCCTCGTGCAGCTGTATTACCTAATTAAGGAGTAGGCCATGTTCTTCAAGACAGCAGTTGTAATGTCAGCTGAAGGTCACAGGTTGACAAAGGCCCGTGCTGACAATCACCAGTCTGTCCTGTTAGACTGGATTAAAGTGGCAGAGATTTGGTAACTAATGCAAGGTGCATCTGGTATTGCTCATGTTTTAGTTTCTTGTAGTGTACAGGAAAAGATCTGTCAGTTTGTCAGGTAAAGACAATTTCCTTATGGAGTGGAAAGGAAGCTTTTTTAAAGAGGAAATGGAAGCTGCAGCAATCCTTGGACTTTGAATTCAGGAGGTAGTTGCTGATTTGGCAAAACTCAGTAAGCACACATTTTACCTGAGCTTGTGTTAGCTTTACTGGTTTCAGCATGTGAGCAATTTCATTGACTCCTGTGAAGTTACTGACCTATTGCAAGTTGCACACGTTCCTTGCTTGCTCAGCGGGCTGCACTCTGCCGAAGACCTCCTGAATAGAAGGGCCTGAACTTCATTGTTTGGGTGATTTATTTTTTTTTTTCCTTCTTTGTATCCTTTTTTATTGTCCACTGTAAACGGGCCAGCATAGCCTGACCCAATTACAATGCACAAACTGAAATGTTAATCCTTTGTGGCAGCTTTACAGGCAACATAAGATGAAGTGCCTTCAGGATATTCCTGTTTTAAGTTGCAGGGTCTTCAAGAGCAGAGTCATGGCTGAGTAAAGTAAAAGAATTATAGAATCATAGAATGGTTTCATTTGGAAAGTACCTTAAGATCATCTAGTTCCAACTCCCCTGCCATGGGCAGGGTTGCCTCACCCTATACCACATTGCCCAAGGCTCTAGATAGAGCTCACATGACTATGCCAAGTAGTTGGTCTTGCCTTGATGACCTTTCTCTTTGGGTGAAATTAAGAAGCTGAAGGGAGAAGGATAAACAGAAGTAGAGATTGGAAAAGAATTTTCTCCTTTGTGCTTTTGCGAACCAAAGAGTGCAAAACTACCACTAGAGGGTAAAAAATCTGACTTACTTCCCAAAGGATGTTGTCAAAGACGACCTTTGCCACTGAAAGCGGAACATCTTTTCTCCAGGTATCTCTCCTGAGGTCTGAGAATATTGGAGGAGAAGCATTTAAGAGTGTTTATCTGTGTCTTTCAGTTACCATCAGGTTTATTTGCATTCACAGAATCTCTCTGGGTAACCCATGGTATTTAAAAACCCTAGAAGAGCACAGCATAGTATCTTTCATGCTGAGGGATGAGGCCTCACTAAACATAAGCTCTGAAGAGAAAAATAAAACCTGTGGTTTCCTTTTTGGCTTCCCTGAGCTTCGTTTGAACTCCCTTGTCTGTTGTCTTTCTCTGTAAAAGAAGACAAAATAAATACATAAAACTGCACAGTGGGACCAATTTGTTATCTCTGAAAAAATTCCTAAATATAAGTTCAGCTACTTGTACTTTAAAGGGGTGGAAAAACCCATTGAAAGAGCTGAAAGCAAACTCTAGACTTCTAGTTTTCCATCACAGCAGCCACATAGCAAACTGAAGGCAGTGTAGTGGTTAAAAACAAAACACCCTTTGCTATGAGAAAACTACAGGGTCCCGCCTGTGGAAAACAGATTTGCTGTAACACTACAATATGTGTCAGCTGGGGTCAAATTTTTATAGCCATAGGCTTTCGAATTTGGTGGTTGCTTTTGAGAGGTTGTCTTACTAAGTCTCTTAGACCTGAAGCACAGGTTGAACAAAGCAGTGCAGGCCTGATGTTTTAACATGCTTTTAATTTCTCTTTACCTTTTTCTGAATTCCTGGTTTATAAGACAAAGTAGAAACCAATAAATGTATTTTAAAATACATTTAAAAATAAAAAAAAATTACAATAAATCACCATAAACCACATGCACTTCCTTTGGATTGTGCATGAATGCGTTTTCTTCCTTTCTGGTGAGAAGGTGGCTTGTCTGTGTCATTTGCATCAGCCCCATAAGCACATAAGGAGTCAGGTAGGCAATCTTAAAGCTGGGACACTGGCTGACGCGAAAGGAAGTGTCTTTCATTGCTTTGTGTTGACATACATAAAACTGAGAACCTGGTCCTCAAGATTTGCACCTTAAGAGTATTTTGTAGAAACAGCACTCACTTCTAAGCAATATCCTCTCTCTTCGTCTGCCTTAGTACCAGCAAGTATCTGTCTCTACCAGCAAGTGGAGTTTGCAATAATTAAATTGACACAGGTTTGTTATCCTGGAATGAATTTGTATTGCCACCATTTTTAACAAGGCATAACATTCATTTGTTGTAAGAAAAAGAGATTTTTGAAGGACAGTCTTGACCTTTTTGCTATTGAGTACTCATATTTGATTTTTAATTTCTTCCTGTGGTTTTCATTGTTGTGCTAATTTTCTGGTGCTGCGAATCATTTGTACATGGAGGCAGCAAAAATGCTAGAACTATTTCATGTACATTGTGGAGTATTGCCTCGAGCAGGTTAGGATGTGCTGTGTTAATGAGTATGAGACAAGAAGCTGGGAACTGACCAGGAAGTTCAGAACAGTGACAGCAGCACTAGCCAGAATGCAGTGAAGGGGAGCAAGTACCAACCATTGGCTGGCACTTTGGTTGGCCAGTGGTGCCAGGCAGGAGCACTAAATGCACTGTTTGTACTAACCAAAGTAGTAACTGACTTGCTTCATTGTCAATCAAGAATAATTCCCCTGCCATAGCTGGGGACCTTGGTGTAAGCGGTAAGAACATGAGTCAGTGACAGTCAGTGGCTATCTGTTTTCCATTTACAAGCTGTAGTCTTATAGTT